TTTGGTATGAAGAACACCAATAATAGGTTGTCTGAGCGCATTACCAACAATAAGCAAAATCTTGAAAAGTATGTTATTCTCCAAACTGTACTTCTCCATTTCACTGGTATCACAATTCAGGAGGGCGTCTTGGAAAAGGAGTCGGGTTGGGTCATCCATGACTTCTTATTGTTCCTGTAGTACACTGCTCACTGATACACTTGAAGGCTCTGGGGTTCTCACTGTGCCAGATTACACAGGGCTTCAATTTGAAGCCAGCAACACTGACCCAAAGCAAGACTGTTATCCTGTCCTTATAAGCCCTGAAACCTGACACTGACTTTGCCTCTTTATGGATCAAAGTCCTTTCAGGCATATACTTTCAGATTAGGAAGGCTTCATCCATACTGAATATTTGCTCTGGCAAATAATTTTCCTCCACAATCTGCTTATGTAGGGTTTCCAGAAAGTCTTCAGCTGCCTTCTCATCACAGACTCACCACTCACTTTCAGATTATGTAATAAAAATGTATCTTGAATTGTTCAATGACCCAGAGCTAGCAGTAAATTCAACAATATAGTTCATCCAACCTTGTCTTTCAACATTGCAAAAAAACCTTTTGCTTTGGCCATGGTGCTGAAAGGGATACGCTTCTAAATCGGGTGTTCAATCCAGGTAGTTTAATATTCAAAAACCAATTAATGTAATTCACACATTACCACAGGAGAAAGCGCATGTTCCTCGATAGATACTAAAAAAGCATTTGACAAGTTCAATCTCCTTACAAGTTAAAAACAAAACTAGCGTCTGGGCTATGAGCTCATTTGGGTAGCTCAGTTGGTTAGAGCATCATCCGGATACACCAAGGTTGCAGGTTTGATCCCCCGTCAGGGCACATACAAGGAAATCAATAAATGCATAAATAAGTGGAATAACAAATAGATGTTTCTCCTCTCTCTAAAATCAATCAGTAAATTGTCTTTCAAATGGTGGTAAAAATTTTAAAAGACACATAACTGAATATTTTTAAAAAGGCAACCATGTTATACTCAATATTTTTCACATATGACCTTATATTTTTTAATGTTTGTATTGATTTTGAGAGAGAGAGAGAGAGAAATATCCATCAGTTGCTTCTTGTACACACCCTGACTAGGGACTGAACCTGCAACCTGGGCATTTGCCTTGATCTGGAATTGAACCAGAGACCCTTCAGGGCACGGGAGAATGTTCAACCAACTGAGCTACATGGACCAGGGCCACATATGACCTTAACTTGATCTCAGACAAGAACTAACATGACTTTAGCTTTACTTCATGAAAGGCTTATGATACCTCTGTTTTGCCTTTATTGGCAGTTAATGTCACATCGTTTTCATCCACTTGTGAAATACTCTCCAGTTCTTCCGCCTGAAGTGTAACTGATCCTTCACTTAGTTGTGTATTGGAGTGTTCATTTAAATCTCCTGTAGGAAATATACAATATTCAACTTCTATCTATACACTATCTCACAGAAACAATCTGTGGGATAAGGATCACAACATAATTGGCCAAGGAAAAATCCTTTTACCCAAATATCAGTCATCTTCACAAAAACTGAATAAAGGTATAGTCACTAAGACAAAGGCCATACCATTGTTAATTTGGCTAAATTCTGCAAACAAAATTGTGGATTTTAATTTCTCCTCTTATAAGCTCATTTAATATTTTTCAGCTTTAAACATTTCACAAATACACAAGCTGAATTTATACTAGCAAAAAACAGCTGTTTGCTCACTGGATGAAAAAAGTTTGATTTAAATATTTATCATATACATTTATCATACTATAACAGTCTGGATCTCAAAATACCTCTTTATTTAAAAGTCTACCTAAATAGTAAATATAACAGTTATAATTCATTAACTCAGTTGTCTAATAGGACAAAGTAAACTAACCCATTTGAACAAATTAAATTTACTTTGATTTTTACAAAAGTATTTAGGTGGATTTTGGATGACTTGTTTCCAATTTAGATTTAAAAGGCAATGTGGGATTATATAAGAATCAAATGAGTAACTAATACTGAAAAAATTGAAGTGATTCATACATTTTCACTCATTAAGAACATAATCACATAACCATCTAATTTACTCTTTTTTTACAAGTTAAAAAAGAGTTACTAAAAATTCTTTCATTTAATCAATTACCTGAAAATGGATCATGGTTAAGACGAGCCATTTCTTTTTCCAAATCACTTTGTGATAAATCAGATTTTCTTATTAAAGCAACAGGTTCTCTCTCTTCTGGTGATGTAATAAAATAACCAAATGATGGCTACAAAATAAACATATGAATTATTTCCTTCATTTTCAACTGCTTTGAGATATTCTATACTACTTTATCTCAATATTGGTAACCTAGCTAAATGATTTCAACAAATATTTTTTTCTTTCTATTTAAACTTAAATGACTAGGGATAAACTTAAAAGTCCACATAGAACCTTTTATTTCCTTACTGCCAGCTATCTTTAATCATCAGAACTAATATGGTCAAGTAACTAGTTGCCCTCACTAAGAAATCCAAATTAAAACAACCCAGAAATGACACTTCGTTTGTTCCTTCAGTAATTATTATTGAACTAGTAGCCCGGTTCACAAAATTCATGCACATTAACACATTGTTTGCGGGTAGTTTTTATCACGCGCTAACAGGTGGCGCAGGCCATTTTTGCTAATTTTTTGCGCAAATGGCAACGTTCAGTAAAATTACGATAACTTTAGTTTACGTATTTATACGTTACCCGCATTCTACTGCTAGTCTATAAAAAACGTATTAATACGTGTCCCGTGCTCTACTACCAGTCAACATAAAACGTATAAGTATAAAACGTATAAGTACATTTCCCGCATACTGTGTTAAAAGGGAATTAATTAGCCAAAACCGTTTTGGCTCAGTGGATAGAGCATCGGCCTGTGGACTGAAAGGTCCCAGGTTCGATTCCGGTCAAGGGCATGTACCTGGGTAGCGGGCACATCCCCAGTAGGAGATGTGCAGGAGGCAGCTGATCGATGTTTCTCTCTCTTCGATGTTTCTAACTCTCTATCTCTCTCCCTTCCTCTCTGTAATTCTAATTCCTCCCTGTACACCACATTAAGAGTGAAAACACTTTCAGAGTGCTTGACTAACCCTTGTGATGAAGTATTTAGAACTTTAACTGTAACGTCACATGCTCTTCAAACTTGAGAGAAAGCAACGTATAACTGACCATGTGCAAAAACAGGTTCAGGTAGGAATATGCCTACTCTGTCTAGAGTTTGTCCTTGTGATTTATTAATAGTCATCACAAATGCTGGCATCATGGGAAACCATTGTCGAATCAATTTAAATGGGAGGCCAGTGTCAGATGGGGACAAATGAATTCTTGGAATCAGAACAACCTCTCCCTCTGCAGATCCTGTTAATACTTCAGTTTCAATAATGTTAGGTCGTAATCTCTGGATAATAAATCTGGTACCATTACAAAGACCCCATTTACTATTGAGATTTCTCAATAGCATGATGATTGCACCCAATTTTAATTTATGACACGGCATTCCCAAAGGAGTAATATTAAGAAATTCGATGGGAAAATTTTCCTTTTCAGCATCATCTGTGGAATCAATGGAATCATCACTCAAATATGTGTGAAAATCTCCATCGAGTATATCCAAAATTTCTTCATTTAATTTTTGAACATGCGCATTTTTTGGACAAAAAACTGCATGTTTAGATATATTTTTAATATTATCTATAGATATAGTACTTCCAAAGGTAGCTTCAATAATAGATTCATTATAAATCATTTCACAGGGGATTTCAATAATATCCATTCCTAAATGAAAACTGCTATCAAATTTGCCATCTCCGAGTTTTACTAACCATCCACTATAAGCAGAATCCTCTGATCTCATATTTGTTGTAAGAGACAACTTTCTGAAACATACCTAAACACTGCAGTACTTTAAACTCGTTTGTACTATGGCCGATCACATAGCATGCGGTACAATACTGAGACACTGTCGAAAATCTCCTCCAAGGAGAACTTTCCCACCAAATACAACATTCAAATTTCTCTTAGTAATCTGTCTCTGGCGTTTACAGCATGACTGGATACCATGGTGCATTCATCAATAATGAGAAGTTGGGCCTTTTTAATAGTTTTAGCAATTTCACTCTTTATATTGAGTTTAGAAATTGAAGTTTCATTTAATGGAATCAGTAATTTATATTGGGAATGAAAGGTGCTTCCACCGAGGAGTAAATTTGCAGCAATTCCTGTAGATGCTCGGGGTAAAACGGTGCCACCGTGGCCTCTAATATAATGTATTAGAACTTTATACCAGGAGTCCTCAAACTTTTTAAACAGGGGGCCAGTTCACTGTCCCTCAGACCGCTGGGAGGCCGGACTATAGTTTTAAAAAAAATTATGAACAAATTCCTATGTACACTGCACATATCTTATTTTGAAGTAAAAAAACAAAACGGGAACAAATACAGTATTTGTATTTGCATGTGGTCCGCGGGCCGTAGTTTGAGGACCCCTGCTTTATACAAATATGCAGGTGAATAGGATTCCTAGCTGGCAGGCCTGTGATAGCAAACTGGCCACCTGTGGATTCCGTAAGGAATGGGGCTCCCTCCTCCCTCCTGTCAGGGTCTGGGGTGCAGGTGAATGGTGTTCCTGGCTGGCAGGCCACTGACAGCAAGGTATCCAACAGCAGATTCTGTGAGGAATGGGGCTACCTCCTCCCTACTGTCAGGGTCTGGTTTGAAGGCGGGACTCAGTACTTCCACATTCCGCTCTGAGGGCAGTTTCCTGCCTGAAACCTCATCCTCCGGGGAAACAGCTGGGGGAGGGCGCAGCGGTTTCCAAGACGACCCCTGCAGGACTGACTTCCTTCCACTTGGTTGCGCTTCTGAATGTGATGTTACACCCAGGGTTTTTGGTTTGATTGTTTTTTTAAAATATATTTTATTGATTTTTTACAGAGAGGAAGGGAGAGGGATAGAGAGTTGGAAACATCGAAGAGAGAGAAACATCGATCAGCTGCCTCCTGCACACCTCCTACTGGGGATGTGCTCCCAACCAAGGTACATGCCCTTGACCGGAATCGAACCTGGGACCTTTCAGTCTGCAGGCTGATGCTCTATCTACTGAGTCAAACTGGTCAGGGCCCAGGGTTTTTATATAAGTAGATATCTACTATGTGTCAGACACTGTTAATAAACATCAGTGAGGAAAAAAAAATTTCCTGCTTTATTGGAACTTACAGAATAAAACTGTATATAATAAATACAAAAATATTTATGAAGAGTTAAATTTCTTCCTACTGAGTTGGATGAAAGGTTCAGAAAGGTTTATTATTTATTATATTCAAGGAGCTTGCTAAAAGGCAAGAAATTCACACTTTTCTTTTCTTAAAGAACTTTCACAGGATAGACCTAAAATGTGAATTCAGCCGAAACCGGTTTGGCTTAGTGGATAGAGTGTCAGCCTGCGGACTGAAACTTCCCAGCTTCGATTCCGGGTTGTACCTGGGTTGCGGGCGCATCCCCAGTAGGAGATGTGCAGGAGGCAGCTGATCAATGTTTCTCTCTCATCGATGTTTCTAACTCTATCTCTCTCCCTTCCTCTCTGTAAAAAATCAATAAAATGTATTTTAAAAAAATAAAAAATAAAAAATAAATAAATAAATAAATAAAATGTGAATTCATTAAATGCACTCAGTTTTTAGCTGATCTTCACTTGGAAATTTCTTCCCTTGATCCAGCAACTTGCATGCAAGTAACATTTCACAATTAATATCAAAATATAAATTCCAAATGATAGATCCATTTTCCATGATCCACTGCTTTAAAATTCATCGGTTTATAAGGAATTCAATTACTCTTTAACTTCACTCATAATGTAAAAGATTCCAATTGATTCTGGCAGAAAAAACCTGCCTCACTGAAGTATTAATTCTCATTTTTTAATTCACTGCAGACAAGATCAGTTTCAAATGTAAGTTCTGTAAATCAACTGTGAGATCTAAAACCACAGCTATTATTTTAAATTATAATCTTAGTGAAATCCAGTTTTAATAAACACTGTCCCGCCCTGGCCAATGTGGCTCAGTTGGTTGGAACGTTGACCCCATGCACCCAAAGGTCTCAGGTTCGATTCCCAGTCAGGTCATATACTGGAGGTAACCTATCAATGTTTATCTCTCTCTTCCCCTCTCTCTAAAGTTAAAAAATATATCCTCAGGTAAGGATGAAAAATACGTTTAAAAAATAAACACTGTCCAATAATGCCAACTCCCTATATGGAATGTATCAAAAAGCCCTTTGACTCTATCTCTAAAAGAAATCTTGAGTCCCTAAATTTTTCTGTTTCTGTAATATCATTCTAGCACTCAGCCTTCCTCAAATCTCTTCCTGTGTACCTTTGTGCCTGCTTCTACTCTTCTTCTGCAGTTCACTGACTCTTCCACCCAGGCTCCTGACACATATGGTGGCATACTTTCACACGTAGAGATGGGCCCAGGCACCACAACAAAGTTGTTCCCGGCCTTCGAGAATTTTTTCCCAGTTAATTTGAGATGAATCCAAATCCTGCAAGGACCCTTCATAATCTGCCGGGAGCCGGTCCATCCTTGCTGTTTCAAGGGACCTGGCATATATGGCATACTGTTCTTAATATGTTTGCTCACCTTCTTGGCACTATGTGTTTTAACCAAGGTCACCTCTCTGAGAAAGGTTGTTTCCCCAGGTAGGGATTTTCCCCTGAAGTTAGGGAGGGAATAAAACCTCTTAACCCCTTCCCCAGCAGAACTAGCGAGAGAACCTGGCTGAAGATCCTAGAAACAGAACCTGGCTACAGAACCTGGATAGAACATGGCAAGAGAACCTGCCTAGAACCTGGCGACTGAACCTGGCTAGAGAACCTAGCGAGAGAACATGGCTACAGAACCTGGCTGGAGAACCTGGAGAACGTGGCTGGAGAACCTAGCAAGAGAACATGGACATAGAACTTGGCTGGAGATTGTGGCTAGAGATCCTGGCAAGGCTGCTGATCAACTGAACGCTGTCTCCATGTCGTTCCTTCTTCGCCGACTCCGTCCACACCTTTGGGGACCCCTGGACCTGCTGGGGTTGGACCCCGGCAATAATCTAGCCCTTGTCTTCTTCTACCATTTAACCTATCATACTCTCGCACCCCACAGTTCATTTCAAACTTAAGTTCTGCCGAAACCGGTTTGGCTCCGTGGATAAGAGCGTCAGCCTGCGAACTGAAGGGTCCGGTTCGATTCCGGTCAAGGGTATGTACCTGGGTTGCAGGCACATCCCCAGTAGGAGATGTGCAGGAGGCGGCTGATCGATGTTTCTCTCTCATTGATGTTTCTGACTATCTCTCTCCCTTCCTCTCTGTAAAAAATCAATAAAATATATCTAAAAAAAAACACCTTAAGTTCTATAAATTCACATTAGCTCCATTTGTCTGCTTTCTGTTCCTCCAATATGCCATTCACCTCCTATAAATCATATAAATGTTCATATAAATCAGGGGAACGTCTGGCCCAAGGGCCATATAAGGCCTACAAAATCATTTAGTTTGGCCCTGCGAAGGGATTAAGGGTGAGTTAATTAAATGTTTGACCAAATATAGCAGGCTAATTTTTAAAATATATATATTTTATTGATTTCAGAGAAGGAAGAGGGAGAGAGAGAGAAACATCAGTGATGAGAGAGAATCATTGATAGGCTGCCTCCTGCACACTCCCTACTGGGGATTGAGCCCACAACCTGGGCATGTGCCCTTGACTGGAATCGAACCTGGGACTCTTTAGTCTCCAGGCCAACACTCTATCCACTGCGCTAAACCAGATAGGTTAGCAGACTAATTTTTAAGTTGGAAATTTTGTAGGGCCTGCGAATGATGTTATCAAGTATCCAAATGGCCGTTGGCAGAAAAAAAGATTCCCCACCCGATATAAATAGTCTCCATTTACTGGGAAGAACCTCCCCCAGATCTTTTGATGACTGCCTCCTTCCTTCTCATCATTTAGGTCCCAGATGTCACTCCAACTACCACAGCTAAAGCATCACCTTATCCTTACTCATTCTTCACAGGACCTATCATTATTGTTTGCATTTTTAATTTTTTACATCTTATTAAACTGAAATACTCCTATATTTCAAAATATGTTTTTAAACAACAGGTCAAAAAATGAATCTTTAAGTTCTTCCCACCAACCAATGCTTATAACCATAGTAACTAACAGGTATTGATATTACTGCATGTTAGGTTTGGTGCTAAATACTTTACATGCAACATCACATTTAATTCTTACAAAACCCTGTAAGATGGCATTCCATTTTAGAAATTGGAAAATTAAGGCATAAAGGAGTTAAATAAATTATTCTATGTCATAGAACTGGTTAAAAGGCAGAGCTAGGACTGGGTCAAGGTCTGACCAACTAACAAATCTAAGCTTTTATCCACTACTTTAACATGTTCCTATTCTGTCTCTGCTTTAAAGATACTACTATGCTCTAGGTATACCATCATAACATTCAAAATATAACAGCTGGTCAATTTAACCGGTTCCAGTACATATCATACTTACTCTTTTCACACTGTAACCACCACCAAGGCAACCAAGAGCTTCAGATCTTTGAGCAAAGAACTCTCCCAAAGAGAGACGTAAATAACTGGCATCGTCTTTGTTCAAATCTGATGTGCTAAGTGATTTCCTCAACAAATTGTAATTAACTGAAGTTCCCCACGACGTATCCCTTAGTGCAACTGAAGTATTCTGGGCATCTATATTTTCTTCCTAGGAAGAAAGTTATTATTTCATGTTATTTCCCCAGCAAGCCTTCTTTCTGTTTTTCTCATATTAAAAAAAAAAAAAAGAAAATTTAATTTTTTTTTTAATAATTTTTTTAAAAAATGTGGACAAATTCAACCTTAAGCAGCTAATACAGGTAATGAAGTCCAGAAGAAGAGAACTTCATTTTACATACTTTGAGTTATAATATACAGTTGCTTAATCAAACACTGACTTTCATTAATATAAATCTTTAGAAAGGAGCATATTTTCAATAAAAACAAATAGCATTACCTCATTTTAAAATATGGTTAAAAACTGGAAATATCTTTGAAGACTACTAAGTTGATTTTAAGCAAATTAAATATTATTTCAGTAAGCCAGTTATTTTTTCAATCAATAATTTTGAGTGTGAAGAAAAAAGCAGAAATTGTTTAAATATGAGAAAAGCAAGATAAAATTCTATACTAACCATATATCTATTCAGATAGGAATAAAAATGTTGCTACATTTAAATTAATACAGGAAAAATTTTAAACTTTGGTTAATGCCCATAAAATACAAACCTGCATAAACTGGTGCTCTTTATTAAATTCTTCTTCATCTTGTGCAATCAACTCCAATGCCTCAGCTTAAAAAGAACAGGTGTATAATATTATGTAATGCCAATTAGATACTAGCATATAAATAAAACATAGCTAGTTAGGAAAATGAAATATTAAAGAAATAAAAAATTTAAAAGGTATGTGAAAGCTTCTCTCACACAACTGGTGCATCTGCATTAAGTACATAGTCTGTGGAACTCAAACTTTTGGTAATAGACACCCTACTGTGATTGATTTAATCAGTTATTAATGTGCCCTACCTCACTAAAGGGGGCTTTACAATCTAAGATTTTTGTTTTTAAAAGACTCATTAATTTTATCTTTAAAGATCTGGTACACCTGAGTTAAGGTACACACCCATGAACACCCTTGGTACTTCATCTGGAACTAATGGACTGACAAGTCATTCTGTAAGCTCATCATGAAGATGTCTGCTGGGTTGCCCAACCACCTGTTTTGTCCAAAACTGTCCCAGTTTTAGAGACGAGAAATCCTACATCCCAGCAAATCCCACAACCTGAGCAAACAGTAACAAGAGGTCCCACGATGTCTGTCCTCAAAGTTCCTATAAGCACCTCGATTCACCTTAGGGTAATGAATGTCTGAATCAACCTCTAAGCCAAGGCCACAAACTAAAATGCCTCAGAAGCTAGGAGTGAATGAGCAAAGAGGGCCAGGTATAACACAATAGGGAGTGGTGGGACAGTGGCAAACTAGAAAGCCACTAGTTTAATGCTCCTGCTCCAGACATTAGAATTAAAAAGAATTTTACACATATTGGCTAAATCAGAAAAGGCTACAGGCTAAACTCTAGGCTGCCTGTCTGTTGCTCATCCTGGGCCTTTGCCTGGTATTTCAAAATAGTAACAGAAGGGGGAAGAGTCAATAGCAACCCAGAAGGGACAGTCCACTTGTGGCTCCCACAAGAAGGATATCTCCCACTCTTACAGATCCATCAAGGGCTAATCCAATCCAAACTGCCCTTTTGAAAGTCCTCACAGTCCCAGATTAACATCTTGAGACAAAATGAGAATAGATACAAGAGAATATTTCTAGTTAGGAAAAGTACAGCACCAAAGATAGGTCAAGATTCTTACTTGTTAAAATAGTGCTGATTCTTTACCTTTCTTTTATATAAGCACATTCTAACCTAGAGGTATAAATAAGCATCAATGAAACCATGAAGCTCCCGAAATCATATGCTAAATTTTCTACATAAAAAATTTTCTATGAAAATTCTCTGTGGGGTACCATAAGTTAAAAAAACCACTGCCCAGCTCTAGCCGGTTTAGCTCAGTGGACAGTGTTGGCCTGCAGACTAAAGGGTCCCGGGTTTGATTCCATTCAAGGGCACATACCAGGTTGCTGGCTCGGTCCCCAATAGGGGCGTGCAGGAGGCAGCTGATCAAAGATTCTCTCTCATCATCGATGTTTCTATCTCTCTCTCCTTTTACTTTCCTCTGAAATCAATAAAAAATATTTTTAAAAATCAATACAATAATTCATGTAAATACGCACACAAAGGATCAGTACATAATAAGTGCTCAATAAAACATGGCTTTAAAAAACAAACAAACAAAAAAACCATTGCCCTGCTTGGCAAGTATGGCTCAGTGGTTGAGCTTCAACCTATGAACCAGGAGGTCATGGTTCAATCCTTGTCAGGGCGCATGCCCAGGTTTTGGTTCAATCCCCAGTGAGGGTGTGCAAGAGGCAGCCAATCAATGATTCTCTCTCATCATGTTTCTATCTTTCTCTCCCTTCTTCTCTGAAATCAATAAAAATATACACACATATATTTTAAATGATACCGCCTTAAAAATTGAAATAAAAACCACCACTGTCCTAAAATCAGAAAGTATAAACCAACTAAATCTAACATCCAAGAGAAGGAGGAAATCAGCCCATAAGAAGGTAACTTAAAAATCTATACAGTCTTATTAACTAATGTCACCCCAATAAATTTATTTTAAAAATAAAATTTAATAAAACTCAAAAGTTCATTTTGAAAAAATATCACATTTTAAAAGTACAGCTCCAATTGCTATTTGTTATATTCCTAAGCATTTTTTTCTCTGAACTTTGAGATTCTTCAGTTAAAAATCTGTAGTACTGTTCATCAGAAATTAGTCACTAATTATGAGAAAGCAGAACTGCATTTTTTGAGTCTATGCCCAATTGTTTGTCATATCTAAAACAAGAGTCCTTTCAAATGTCACCTGAAAGTTCTAGTTGTTAAATTTTGAAGCAGGCCTTAGTCCTACTCCCCCAACCCCTGCCTAGTGTTTAAATCCAAGGCCATAAATAGAAGTAATGTACATAGTACCGCAGATATATGGAACTAATGAAGAGGACAGAAATGGGGAAGAGTAGTAGTATCTCAAGTAAAGTTCCTGAAAAAGTTTATTAAATAGGTAAGTTTTCATTTAAAATGACTTTGATATTATAAAAATTATGCCCTTGGTCCATTCTTCCTCTGCTGGATATCTCTTACATTTTCAAATTCCCTTCCCTATTCCTATTAAAAGGCTCCCATTTTATTCATATGCTCTACTGGCCCTGGTTCCCTTTGATATAGTTCCTTTCTTTTCTTCAAATTAGTATTTTTCCATATTCATTTTCTCCATTTCCTCACCACCCAATGTTAGTCATTCCACAAGTGAGCTTTCCTCAAATCCCTCCATTATCTATTTATTTTTTCCTTTAATAGAACACGTTCACATAGTTCAAAATTAAAAAGTATATGTATGCATACTATGCTGCAATAAAGACTTTTAAAAAGTTAACCCCCAAAAATAAATTAAATTAAATTAAAAAATAGTTAAGCCCTAACCAGCTTGGCTCAATGGATAGAGCGTCAGCCTGCGGACTCAAGGGTCCCAGGTTCGATTCCGGTCAAGGGCATGTACCTTGGTTGCGGGCACATACCCAGGGGTGTGGTCAGGAGGCAGCTGAATTGATGTTTCTCTCTTATCGATGTTTCTAGCTCTCTATCTCTCTCCCTTCCTCTCCGTAAAAAATCAAATAAAATATGTATTTTAAAAAAAAATAGTTAACCAGAGATGTAAAAGGGAATAAATACTGAAACGTCTCCACCACATCCCTGACCCCACTTACCACACCTCCAGAAGCAACCAGTGTGTAAAGTACCCCTAAAACACCTCGCTACTTGATTTTTGAGTTTAAGTAGCTAGAGATTCCTACAATCCGTTTCTTTTTTTAAATCTCTCCACTATATGCATTTATAAATACAGGTGTGTTCTCCCCTCTTCCACCTTTTTACACAAACGCTAGAATATTTTACCTGGCTTTTTATGTCTTGGATTTTAAACAGTTAATTTTGGTGACCATCCCATATCAGGACCTAACAAGCTCCTTTACCTTTTTATAGCCACAGGGAATTTCCTTGCAGGGATGTACCTTACTTAATCAGCCCCCTTTTTTGCACATCCATGTTGCTTCCAAATGTCTGTTATTATAAACAATGTACAAATAATAACACTGCACATACATTACATACCATTCATGCAAGTGTATCTGAATAACAATAAACTCCCAGGAGAACTGCCTGGTTAAAGAATATATACCTTTGCAATTTTGTTAGATGCTGCAATATTGCCGTATCTAGAGGCTGTTAAACGACCACATTTATTTCCTTTTCTCTAAATTCTGTGATTACATCCCTTGCCTAATTCTATACTGAGTAGTTGGGTTTTTTGTTGTTTACAAAACTATTAACATTTTAGGAAAATGGGCCCTTAATCTGCAATATGAATTTAAAAATTTTGATGAGTAATTTTTAAAAATTCTATAAAAGTATAACATAGCTATGAAAAGTATATGCAACACCCAAAGGCCCCTTGAGTGTCCTTCCTGTCACTACATGCCTGTCCCAGAGAAACCACTACCCTTGCTTCTCACTTCACAGAGCAGGAGATGTTTGAACTGTACACAATAGAATTATAGAATGTAATTTTAGTCAGCCTTATTTTATTCACTGTATTTGTGAAATTTACTCATGTTGCTACAAGTGGCTACACATCCTTCATTCCCATTGGTACACAGCATTCCAATATATGAATAAACACAATCCATTCCATTGTTAATGGGAATTTCGAAGTTTCTAGTATAGAGCTAATACATACAGTGCTGCTATAAACATTTTGACATATGTCTTTGGTAAATTATATACACTCCATATACTGGGTATATAGTGGGTCATAAAGTGTGAATTTCATAAAATTCATCTTTACTAGATACTGCCAAACAACTTTTCTAAATGGTTGTATCGATTTACATTTCCCACCAGCAACACCTAAGAATTCCATTACCATTGACTTACATGACAAAGTCAATATCCACTGTCCAGTGTGTCTTTTCTAAATCAAGACATCATTGAACAAGGCCTAACAGTAACCTAACCTCCAATTTCCGACTCGTTTCCAACTACCAAATATTCCCAGCTCAAACCACAATCATCCAACACTCTACAATTTATTCTGATCTCCCCTCTCAGTTAACAGTACTGGCATTTTCCCCCGAAAAGATCACAAACCTCAATCCTTTCTTGACTCTCCACTAACCATTGGAACCCAGTCAAACCCTAACCATTCTACCTCCATGTCTTCATTAGCTACTTTCTTTTCATTCTCACAGTGACACCTGTTTCTATATCCTAAAGAATCTCTCCCCCGCCTTTTCATTTCTTGCCATAAATGCCCACACTTTCTCATCTCATTCTCTTTTGATGGGTTTTCCATCCATTTGGAATTCTCATGCCCCCAAATATTCACATGTTGAAACTCTCTCTCGAAAGCCTTCTGTTACCCCCTCAAACAAGTTATTTCTCCTAAAACTCCAGAGCATTTGTCCTGTGTTTCTCTGTGATTGCTAAATGTTGTTTTGTATTTTTATTTTACCCCTTTTCGCTGATGGATGGTTTCTTAAGGGCTGAAAAAAAATGCCTTATCTCTGTAGTTCCACATCATCAGATATTTAAGAGTTCAGTACAAGAAGCAGTTAGAAAAACTTTTCTCTGGCACCTTCTGAGCTTATTAAAAATAAGACTGGGCTTCCAGGCCACTGCATGTTTTCTCATCCCGTTTAGAGGTGTTCAGGGTCCGGAGCCGCAGCAGCCCAGCAACATCTCCACAGACCAAGACAAAAGGCCATGATTCTGCAGACCTACCAGTTTCCCTTTCACTCTCAGAGATTCTGATAATCCACAAACCTAATTTATGTTCCGAATATGCTCATCCTTTGAGATTTTACATATTTTCTTCATTGCTTTTTTTTCCATCAATTCTACCACACTTCTTAACTTTTACTACAAAATGGACTGACTTTTGTAACTGCTCACTTATCAGAATAGTTCTTTTGTTCAAGACAGATTTTAAAAAGTAAGAAAGTAAAGCCTCCTAATTTTGCAATACTATAAAGGTTCTAAATTGAAGAGACTGCTGGTCTAATTCACTGTCTTTAAGAAAAAGGCTCAGCTCACTCTGCAATGATTAGCACTCTTTCAAGCCTTTATTCCAATAAAAACAAGAGAAGAGCTAAGTACTGTATATTCCAGAAAGGATCTGATGTGACCAACCATCAGAAACAATGAAAATGGTACAATAATGTGGTTAGCGATATCCACTTACAACCAGTTCTGAATTCTTCATTCATTTCATCCACTGGAGGCATATTTAAATCTTGTTCTTCATTAAAAGATGTATAATAAGCAAGGTCAGTGACCCATCTACCTTCTTCATTTTGATAAACCACATTCTGCGGTAGATCAGCTTCTAAAAAATAAAATTCCAAAAATATCCAATAATACATACAACAAATAAAATTATAAAATATCCTTAAATAATGTTAGTTAGTTGCCTTATCTTAGCTATCAACAGTCCTAAAATTTGCCCACAACTAGTTAGAAAACAGAAAATTAATTTCCCCCAAAGGAAAATATCTCTCTGATAAGCCAGCCTTAATTACAGTAAAAGTATCTAATGGAGAATTAGGGGAAAAGGAAAAGAAGACTTAGAAAGGTATATTTCTACCAGATCTGTGAATAAAGATACCATTTTATGTTATTTATTTATTTACAGTGAAAATTTTTCATATTTAGAATTAGCTAGCTCAGTGGTTGTCAACTGCGGCTCGCGAGCCACATGCGGCTCTTTGGCCCCTTGAGTGTGGCTCTTCCACAAAATAGCATGTGCGGGTGCGCATGTACAGTGCGATTGAAACTTCGTGGCCCATGCACAGAAGTTGGTATTTTGTGGACGAGCCACACTCAAGGGGCCAAAGAGCATCATGTGGCTCC